CACACCCCACCCACACCCACACCCACACCCCACACCCACACCCACACCCTCTCTTGATAGACTTTTCAGAAAAAGCTAAAACTAGTTTTAAGCATAACTTTTCAGCTCTTTCGAATGGTACAACGCCTTTTCAAAATTCTGCATCTTTTGATACCTCTCCTGACTCAAAAGTGACGAATAAAGAGTGAGAAAATCTCAAAATACCCATACATGTAAAAGTCAAAAACTCGTTTCAACTATTTAAGTATTCAATTATTCGCAATACCCTTTGAGGGTGAGGGCAAAACCTTTTGAATAGTGGAATAGTTGAATACTTGAAAAGTTGAATAATGGAATAGATGAATAGTTAAATTTAAAAGTTGAATAGTTGGAAAGTTGAATATTCGAGTTTAAAAGTCGAATGGTTGAATAGTTGAAAAGTCGAATCGACTTAACGAGTTCTACCCTACGGTTTTTTTTACAAATGCATCAGAAAAATCTAATATTTTGGATTTAGAAGTTTCACGATTCAATCTTCCATTTGAGATAAAAACCTCCAAAAAACTTGGCGGCAGACGGTCCTATATAAATTTGGTCGATCTTTTGGCGGACTCTCTTAAAAATATAGTTCTAGTCCTAAAAACTTTAATCAACTGGGATCAGATCCGGAGCATTTTTGACCCGACAGGCTTTATGCAAAACACACATCTATACAATATTATTGATCGAAAATCAAAGAATTACAAATGTTAGTTTCGGTTTGTTTAATCATATTACCATTTCACTACAATATCAATTGCACTTTTCGCCGGAGAGAATCTAGATAATCCTGATTAACATTAACCTCATGATGTTTAGGACCAAAAGCGTCATGTGCAAGGCTGACAGCACGCTCGGCATGCTTGACAGCTTCCTCGCACCGATCGAGTTTTTCATATATTTTTGCCAAGTTATAGTGCGTGACTTCCATTGATGCATAATTGCACGAGTATAAGTTATCTTTAATTGCAAGCGCTTCGATATAGTATGACAATGCCATTGAATAATCATCCATTGAATAATACATCAAACCAATGTTGCTGTATAAAGTAGCAAGCGGTAAGAAATTAGATGGCACAGATTTATTCATTATTTCAAGCATCATTTTATAGTATGTTAAGGCTTTTGAGTATTCTCTCATTAACTTATGCATTGAACCCAAGTTATTGTAGATCGCGGCGAGCAATGGACTATCCATTGGAAGAGACCTCTGCAAGATCTGAAGTGCTTCCGCGTAGCATGAGAGTGCTGATGAATATTTTCCTAAAGACTTATACATCAAACCAATATTTCCGTATGTGGCTGCAAGCAATATATGATTGGGTGGTAGAGCTTTCTGTCTGATTTTTAGAGTTGTTTCGTAGTATGGCAGAGCCTTTGCATACTGCCCCATTAAATCATGGATTAAACCAATATTATTATAAATGATGACCAGCGATGGATGATCGAATGGAAGTGATTTCTGCTGAATTTCAAGCGCCTTCTCATAATATGGAAGACCTGCTGCATATTTTTCCATTGTTAGATAGACGGAACCGATGTTCTCGTAAATGATAGCTATCGAGGAATGGTTCGATGGCAAAGCACTATGCATAATTTCAAGCGTCTTATCATAATATATCAGTGCTGTCAAATATTCTCCCATCGAAAAGTGAACTGAACCAATATTGTTATATGTGGTAGCCAGCGATGGATGGTTAGCCGGCAGAGATTTCTGATCAATTTCAAGTGCCATCTCGTAGCATGAAAGTGCTGTCGAATACTCTTGCATTGATTTATATAATGAGCCGATATTGCTGTAGGTGGTAGCGATAAACGTGTGATTGGATGGTAAAGATTCCTGTAAAATTTCAAGTGTTTTCTTGTAATATGAGAGTGCTTTCGAGTAGGCTCCTGTTGATTTATGTATCAAACCAATGTTGTTATAAGTGGTTGCAAGGCTTGGATGATTGACTGGAAGAGATTTTAGCCAGATTTCAAGTGCTTTTTCGTAGTGTAACAGCGCCTGAAAATATTCTCCTGCTGACATATACACCGATCCTATATTGTTGTAGACGGTAGCCAGTTCAGGATGATCGAGTAAAAAGCATTTCTGTCTGATCTGAAGCGTTTTCTCGTAATATGAAAGTGCTGTCGGGTATTTTCCTAATGAGTGGTGCGCTGAACCAATATTGCTGTAAGTAGTAGCTAGATCTGGATGATCGAAAGAGAGAGATTTCTCTTGAATTTTTAACGCTTTTTCATAATGTGAAAGCGCTGCGTAATATTCTCCCATCGACCTGTACGCAGTGCCAATATTGCCGAAGGTGATAGCGAGTGCTGGGTGATCTACTGAAAGTGATCTCTGCTCGATTTCAAGTGTCTTCTCATAGTGTGAGAGCGCTTTCGAATATTCTCCCATTGATGCATAAACCGAGCCGATCATATTGTATGTAGTAGCAAGCTCTGAATGATCGGCTGGGAGTGCTTTACGTTGAATTTCAAGTCCTTGCTCAAAGTATGAAAGCGCAGTTGAATATTTTCCTAGCGAATCATACACAATACCAATGTTGGTGTAGCTAAGAGCTAGATCTGGATGATTGACTGGAAGAGTTTTCTTTTGAATTTCGATCGCGTTCTGATAACATTGCAGTGCCACTGAATATTGTCCCATCGAGTTGTACACTGATCCGGTAAGGCCGTACGTAATAGCCAGTTCTGGATGACCGGATGGAAGAGATTTTTGCTGGATTTCTAATGTTTTCTCATAGTGCGAAAGTGCAGCATGATACTCCCCCATTAACATATGTATTGTACCAATGTTGCCGTAAGTGATAGCGAGTGATGGATGATCTACTGGAAGCGATTTCTGTTCGATTTCAAGTTTCTTCTTGTAGTTTAAGATTGCTGTCGAATAGTTTCCCATGGCTCTATGGATTGTACCAATGTTACCGTAGATGGTAGCGATTGATGGGTGATTGGCCGGTAGAGTACTTAGCTTGATTACTAATGCTTTCTCGTAGTACAAAACTACTTTTGAATATTCTCCCATTTCCACGTATGCCGAACCAATATTGGTGTAGGTGTTTGCCAGTTCTGGATCATTGGACGGGAGAGATCTCTCTTGAATTTTTAGCGCTTTCTCATAATATGAAAGTGCTGCATGGTATTCTCCCATCGAGTTATGCACTAGACCCAAGTTGTTGTATATCACAGCCAGGTCTGGATGATCGGATGGCAAAGATTCGCGTTCGCTATCAAATGTCTTCTCATAGAGTGAAAGTGCAGTCGCCAGATTACCCTTTGCTGCATTGATCGATCCAAGTTGAAAGTTAACACGAGCAAGTTCTTTAGGATCATCTTCAGATACTGTTGTTAGTAGTGTAGTATATATTTCTTCGGCTTTATCAAACTTAGCCATTTTAAGCATCAATTTACCCATTCGATGTAATCCCGTTGATCCTTGGATCTCCTGTCGGATGCAGTGTGTTAGAAGCGTTCATTGTGGATCCTTATCACTTGTCAATGTCAAGTAGACATGCCAAAGTTGTTCATCAATGTCTTCGAAGTCGCATATACGAAACACACTATGCATTGAGAATAAAATTTCTTTCTCTGTTTCTCCGAAAAAGCTAACGTTGTCTAGGGGGGCGAATGGAGTAGATGAAACTGATGGACAAACTTTTATTTCAAATAAAATTCCCGTAAGATTAGGATTCTGTCGTGCACTGTCTGCATGGTTGTATGCAATGGCACAATTTCTAGTCGTCGACAAAAAATTATTAAATGACAGAAGACCATTTTTGCTCTTCTTTAACTTTTCAAAGTCAGCATGCGACAGACCTTGTCCTCGAAAGACAGTCACTGAATCCCGACTGTGTGTCTCAGAGTGCATCTGCTCAATTTGACGATGCAGATCCCGCAAGAAAAAACCCATCTTAAGGATAGTTTCCGTGTCTTGAAGTCTAAGTGATTGGTTAAGTAGGGTGTAGATAAAATATTCTCGAGTGTACCACCAAATTGGTGAATGAAGATCGTACTCTCGTCCGAATTTATCGAACGGTTGCGATCTGCTGTCGTTCTTATCGTAGGATGCACAGCAGAAGTCAACGAATTCTTTCTTTTCATTGTCACTAGGCGGCATCTCGAAAATAATCTCTTTTAGTAACTGTGTGTACATAAAAGATTGATCAAGTTCATCCAAATTACTAGTTGTAGACGGCGGAATGATGCCTATGGGTATTAAAATACTATTAGAGTGTCGAATATCCTGTCTAAGGACATGACCCAGTAATTCAGCTTCAATAAAAACTCCTTTCACTTTCTTAAATTCTTTGGCCAAATCTTCATGCTGTGATCTGTTCTCACAAAACACATATATAGAATTTAGTTGCGTTAGGTCTTGGATGTGAGGAATAAGCTGCTGCCCAAAATCACCAGAGACAACTAGGAAAACATTTTTATCCTTGATGCTTGTGATAAAGTTCACACACTGATCGACATCAGAAAATGTTTCAATTGAATTAACGATGCATCGTAGATAATTGATGGGATTTTGAATGTAATCATTACAATTATTTATGCTAGAATCGGCCCATATAAGAACAAAACTCTCAATGTAACTTGCTCGTACATGACATGATGGAGTGTTGTTATTTGTTGTTTGTTCAGCGCCATCCTCAAGAATATTGGTTGTTGATTTGATATTAGACTGATTATCATTAAAGTGAATGGACTCAGACATTGCACCAGTCAAAGTAACTGATGGAGTCGCAGAAACTCCAGAACACAAAGATTTCATGTTATAGCTATTGTTGGCAAAGCTTTGTTGATATCACGAGAATGGTGTCGTTTTCTTACCTGCGCGGGATACAACTAGAGATATTCTCCTGTTTTTCGATGTGATGTGTTGTTATCAGTAGACATCAGCAGTATCATAGTCCGCCTCATTTTCTTTTTTTATTCTTTTCTGAGTTTTGCTTTTTGACCTATTTTTCAATATACCGGGTGTTCCAAAAGTTTTGCAACATTTTGTATTTTGCATGTATCTCAGCATAGGTAAATGATAGAACCTTGATTTTTTTTTAAAAGATGCGCCTTGAAAAGCTCTACAAAAAATGTAAGAACAAATCCCTATTGACTTGTTCTGATGATGTCTCCTATACTTAAAATGAATAGGTCAGATGATGGTCCTATGTCCTATGGTATTAAGTATTTGGAAGACTATTTTTGTTTCGCAATAGGAACTTGCTCATACAGATTTTGTAGAGCTTTCAGCGGTGCATCTTTGGAAAAAAAGATCAAGACGTTATCATTTTCCTAAGTCGAGATATTCGCAAAATAAAAAGAAGTCTCCCAAATATTGTTGTTATACTAATTACGGTGGGACATAACACCGTCATGTGACCTGTTCATTTTGAGTATTGGAGACAATATTTGACGAAGTCAATAGGGATTTGTTCTTACAGTTTTTGTAGAGTTTTTCACGGCGCATCTTTTGAAAAAAAAGTCAAGGTGTTGTCATTTTCTCAAGGCGAAATATTTGCAAAACAAAAATAGTCTTCTAAATACTTAATACCATGGGACATAGGACCATCGTCTGACCTATTCATTTTAAGTATAGGAGACATCATCAGAACAAGTCAATAGGGATTTGTTCTTACATTTTTGTAGAGCTTTTCAAGGCGCATCTTTTTAAAAAAATCAAGGTTCTATCATTTACCTATGCCGAGATACATGCAAAATACAAAATGTTGCAAAGCTTTTGGAACACCCGGTATATAGGTTTAACTCGAGGATCTAGGCCAGCCAAGAGCTCTTGAATACGACCCTAAATGGAGAAATATTGCGTTTTCGGTAACTCAGTTTTACAATCATACATTTATATGCTGGCTAGTCAGACGAACAACGAAAAAAAACCTAGTCGAAAGAATGGGGGTGAATTTGCTAGCAAAATCGGCCCTATTTGAAAATCATAAGAGAAAACCTCTCCATAAACTAACTTATGTAATTAAGCATTTTCTTTTTCTTCTAGATAAATGAAATACCTCTATGTATTATGCCAGCTGTGTTCTCAAAACTGTCACAAGAATTCACATTATATTGTGATACTATTTTACTATGAAATAGTTTGAATAAGAGCTTGATTTTGATTGTTCCTTTTCAATCGAAATTAATCTCAAGCCATCTGATGATCGTCGTAGCTGACGTGAAATCTAGATTATGGCATTTGTTCTCATCCTCACCCGCATTCTGCAAAATAAAGACTCGCTGAACGTGGTTTCCTGTGCCGCTGTTACATAACTTTTATACGTCCAATTAATGCATACTTACACATTATGTCTTAATTAATACTTTCTGAGATTATTTATAATCTCGTGCTGTAGCGATTGAGGGTGTGGGTGTGGGTGTGGGTGCGGGTGAACCTAGGACTCACACTCACATCCACACCCACACTCACACCCACACACCCACATTCACACACCCACACTCACACCCACACACCCGCACACCCACATCCACAAACCCACACTCACACACCCATACTCACACTCATACACCCACATCCACACACCCACACCCACACTCACACCCACATCCACACACCCACACCCTAGTTGTAGTTTCAATATTTCATTGGACGAACCTTTCCCCGATACTGATCAATGTATGAAAGCCATCTATGACATGTCACATGACTGTCTCATCACACTCGTAATATCGCATTCGATCCGAACATTATCTGTTCATCAGGACAAGTATTTAATCGTTGGAAAACGTCAAGCTAAAGAGTCTATAGAAGAAATCGACGTTGACTTTCTTATTCATGCATACCTCACTATTACAAACACCGATATGGAATCCAAATACATTTATGAGTGCAAAAGTGGTCGGTTGTGAATTGGCTTTTGCGAAGAAACTCTGGGCCAATGCAGATGTCAATGACTTTTTACATCTTCGAAGTCTGGTGAAGGATTATCTATCAGATCAACAAACTCATCTCGTCAATGTTACTCATCAGCTATACAGACTAGCAGATGTTCTACTATTTGTAGAGTTCGAGCTTCACATAAGCAAGGTGTGTTTGCTCCTGACGGGAATGAACTGGAAGTGATATACGGACAGTGTTTACCGCACGAAATGACATCTAATTTTACGGAGGTGTATTTCACAGCTATGTTATATAGCATTGATCCTGTCCATCCTGTTCTATATAGTATTGATTATTTTTGTTGGAATTCTTATTGTAACAGTGAATTAGTAACCAATCGTTTGTTGAATATCGTACTAGAAGAAGATACACCATTGATTGCTTACTTCGTATCAACATCAAGCAAGATGAATGAATCGAAACTATTTTCGTGATGATCCTTATTTTTCCTTTGAAATAAAACTGAATACTTGTGTTTCAACGATTAAAAATAGATCATGAGAAAAAGTTCAAGATACCATAACTTAACGGGCATCCTATAATAGATGAGCAGTTTTTGCATTGCTTTCTTCCACTATTTCTTATTCTTATTGTATCTGTTAATAAATTATAGCTTGTGACTCATATTGCATCTGATGATATGTTTTATTTGTAAAATTAATGCCAGAGATAGTAAAAAAAAAAGAAATATAAAACCCGAGCATTCATTATGGGACACCCATTATATTCATATAATGTATACACAATTCAATCTCTCATTTAATATCTCCCGTCATCACTACAGAAGATTTGACATTTACGAGCAATACTTCAGCTTTTCTGATCACTGATTCAGGTAAATCTTTTGATTAGTATCCAGGAGGAAAGTGATTGATGCCTATAAAACATATTTCATTAAGATAAATTCAGTACATTTCACTTTTTATGTTAACTGTTGCAATCAAACCTGTGATACTCTCTATAAATGCAAAACTTTTCAGTCAATTCAAATGAGATCAAGCCGAGTTACAGCTAATTTTTGTGTATATAAATTTGTAGCGACAGACGTGACAACGACTGCGCAATCAGGTTTTCTGATCAATCGTGGAGCCGAGATTGGTTCACGATATCTATGGACGTCAAGTGTATGGAAGCAATAGTGGCGGATTCTTACATAAGAAAGTATCTTTAACCAATATATTTTCAAGCACACAATTTGATTCTGGTTCATTATATGTATCAATTTCATTTTTGGAAAAGAGTGGTATTGCACCTTCCATTGATACTGCTAGTGTTGTTCAGTGTCACTACCGGTCAAATCAACTATGCATTAGCTTGGTGCTACGTAACAGATAATTAGTCTCTACCTGTAGGAACACGAGACATCAATTGTGTTATGACATTTGTTGTGCGATATGGAAGCTTTGCAGATGCATCGATTGATGACAACGAACTTAATGTCGCTTGAGTATAATTAAAATAACATTTAAATATGTATCTACAGGGGCTGTAACAAACAATTCTTTTCTGTT